TTTTTTACAGGACAAACCCTCATGGCTGGTTACATCAAGTGGAACATTACTTTACGGTTAATTGGTTAACTAAAAAGGAAAAGCTTGAGTCATTGAGCAATTGAGTTTGTGTGAGAAATTGCTATTATAAATTAATATTCCAACGTTTCAATTTACTATGTGTCTCTATTTATGCCAAGAAAGGTTTGTCGAGACTCGAGAGAGAGAAAAAAGATGAGAAAATTTTAAGACCATGGAGTTGGAAAGCTAAAACACCTTGGTGGGTGGAAATTTGTTCTAGAACAACAGATTTATTTGTTCCAAGGAATATACCTGAAGCCTTAGAAGATCAAAATTGGAAAGTAGTAGTTATGGAAGAGATGAATGCTTTAAAATCAAAATAGGACTTGGGAAATAGTAGAGTTGCCAAGACATAAGAAATCAGTGGGATATGAACGAGTGTTCATCGTAAAATGTAAAGCAAGTGGTAATATTGAGAGATACACGGACAAACTGGTTAGCTCAAGGCTTCACTCAGACCTATGAATTGATTATCAGGAAACATTTGTTCTTGTTGCTAAAATGAACTCTATTAGAGTCATTTTTGTCTCGTGTAGCTAATTCAGAGTGACCTCTCCACCAATTTGATGTGAAAAATACTTTTCTCAATGACGGTTCTAATGAGCTTACCACTAGGTTTTGAAATGGAACTTGGATGTAATAAAATCTGCCGATTAAAGAAATTTCTCTATAACTTCAAATTTTCTTTGAGAGCTTGGTTTGTAAAAGTTGTGTCTAGCCATGGATTTCTTAGAGTCAAGCTGATCATACTATATTTAATAAATACTAAAAGAATAATAAAATATCAATTTTGATATAAAATGTTCTTTTGAGTCATGTGGCGAGAAAGAAATCAATGAATCTTCCAAGGAAAAGAGCTCCCTTTTGACCGTCTTTTGAGGCTATAGTTAATTTGGTTATCTCATGGTGTAAAGGCTCTCATTTGTTTCATCACTATTGCTATATATCCTCTTTTATCCAAATGGAGATGTTTTATGTAACTCCCTTAGATTGGATTCCCCATTTTTTGTAATTTTATCCATTATTCTCATTGGTGATAATGAAGTAGGTTTAGTCGATCTCAAGAAAAATCTTGCAAGTGAGTTTCAATCAAGGACTTGAGAATGTTACAATATTTTATAGGGATGAAATTCGCAAGATCAAAGGCAATATCAAAGAAAATATCTCCTTGACTTGCATGGAGAAATAGGATTACTTGGTTGCAGAGTTGCAAAAACTCCTAGTGAACCTAATCTAAAATTACAAGCAACAAACATATAAGAAATAAGGATAAGAAATAAGGATCAAGAACGATGCTAGAGACTTGTGGGAAGGTAATTTATGTCTCATACACGACCAAATATTACATATGCTGTAAGTATGGTAAGTCCATTTATGCATGTGCTTGGATCGACTCATTTTGAAGCTGCCTACAGGGTCTTGAGATATTTGAAAGGAACTTTGGGGAAAAAATATTTTATTTAAAAAGAATAACCACTCTCAAGTAGAAGTTAATATTGATGTAGACTAGGCTGGAAGTGCTATTACTAGAAGATATATTTATGGTTAGTGTTCCTTTGTTAGAGGAAATCTGGTTACATGGCAAAACAAAAAAAAATGTGGTGGTTAGGAGCAGTGCTAAAGCAGAGTATAGCGCTCAGCCCATGAAATTTGTGAAGCTATATGGATCAAAAGGATACTTGAAGAATTGAAGTTTCAAATGACACCTATATGGAATTATTGTGACAATAAGGCTGCCATATCTATAACACATAATCCAGTTCTATACGACAGGACAAACATATTGAGCTTGGCAAACATTTTATTAAAAAGAGGATTGATGCAGGTGCAATATGTATTCTTTATCTTCCGATGAGGGACTTCCAAAGAAGCAATTTGACAAACTAATCGACAAGCTGGCTATAGAAGATATCTTTAAACCAACTTGAGGCGGAGTATTGGAATCGTCTGTATTATTTTCTTCTTGTTGTAGTAGTTTTTTATCCTATATAAGAAGACTTGGGTTGCACATATTTGAAAGTATCATAATATTACTATTCTTTCAAAATTAAAAGGGTCAATGCAGTCAAAGCCACTATTTCAGAAATTTTCTTTGAACAAAATGAAACAATTTTTCAAGACAAACACTTAGGCATGGAGTGGGTGGATTGATTTCGCTAAATTTAAGTAAAAAAAGTACACTAGGGCCTGTACACCAGGGATCCATCTTCTTGCCATATTCAACTAAATTCACTAATAAAACCTCGGTATGCATGTCCTTTTTATCTATAATATGTAGAGGTGGTGAATTTCCGGGATCATTAAAAATAGGTAATGATCCCAAAAATTCACTTGGTGTGTGAATTCGTATTTTTCATTTATTTTCTAAAAACACAGATATCACATTCCACCTCTATATATTAAAGAAATTATGTATGTAAAAAACTACATATTATAGCCATGTATCGGGTTTTATTAGTGAGATATGGTAAGAAGATGGGCCTGGTACAGAAACCCCTTTTGTACTTTTTTATCTCAATGGTGTTCTTTTTCTTCGTTGTTCGTTAGTTACACTTCATCGCTTGCTTATTTGATAAACACTTGGTATTTTGGGCTTAGAATCTGTTCTGAGAGGGAGAGTTACCTTTGGAAGCGCTAGGGTGGTTCCCTGTATTTTTTTTTGGCTATTTTTCCTCGAGTTATTGTGACTGAAAGGTCTTCCGAGACTTATCAGTATCCTGCCTGTATTTTTCCTCAAGGTATTTCATCATACTTCAGACATTCTTAATGGAATTAGTTTTCATATAAAAGAAATGTTCTATTTGAAATATATAGTTATATAGATTCCTTGTTTTCTATTTCTATTTCTATTTCTTGCAAAGATGAAGACCTTATTGCTATTTATAATTTTCTGGATATATGTTAAGCAATTATTTTTCTAAAAGGAAAAAAAATTTTTAGTCGACAACCTACATAATTTACATAGGAAAGGGATCATCAAACATCAAATACATGAAACACGTACAAAACTGAAACATCAAGAACAAACACAACATTTAAAAGACTTCTCATTTTGAAAATATTAACTTCCACCATCATTTGGTGTAAATTGTCATCTCTTTTTCACTCTAACTTCGTTTCACCTGTATCTCATTGGAGAAGTTTCATGGAACTCTTTTGGTTTGAGGTTTTCTTTCCCTCTTCTTTTGTAAATTTCATACATCAATGAATTTATATCTTTTGTAAATTTTATGCAATTAATAAATGGCTACCAACGGTCAAAAACATCATTGCATACCAGTAGTTTGATGGTTTTGGTTAAGCTAACTTCTTCCTTCAAAATGAGCTTGTTCAACTAAGTTTTTCAAGCGATCTTATAGGTCTCATCCTGGATTACTTGAGATTCAGGCGTTCAATGTTTCTTTGGAGATTGAAATCTCAATACTGGTGCATTGAAATTCACGATTAGGTCTAGATCCTTGGTGTGAAGTTTCTACTTTTGAAACCTCTTGAAAGAAGTCGAGATTAATGGATTGTATTTTATGAAACAGTTTATTTGAGGATTTTTGAAGGTTTTAGAGGTGACAGAATTAATGTTTCTCGGGTTTCCCATTTTTAGGAAGCTTTTTGAAAGTCCAAGCATCCCAAGAAAATTCGTATCATTTCTGGTAGTGGCTGCAAATTTTCAGGTCTATTCTGCTCCCAAGATTGCATCTTGCAGGTTTTTTTTTGGAACAAGAAACAACTTTTCATTGATATATGAAAAGGATAAAAAGTTCAAGGATACAAACTCCCGAAGGAGAGAGAAAAAGAGAAAAGAAATAAAATAAAGAGAGGCCCAACTAGGAGCAATACAGATAATGAAGAGACAATAAAAGCCAAAAAGACCATGCTAACTATTAGCAAAATGATCCATCAAGATGCAAGGACACAATAAGAGAACTTTAAGGATCTTTAACTTCGGGCTCGCTAGCAACTTCATCAATGTCTTTAACTTCTGGAAAAAGGACATTGAGATCTTGAGAAAATTTAGCTTGAATTTCAGCTGATTCTCTTTCCCGATCAGCTTGAATCGTTAACACTTTTCTATAGCATTTTGTAAGGGTTATTGCAGTCAGACGAACAATTTGAGTTATAGTGAGATCAACTCAAAATGTTGGATTGAGCTGTTTTGATTAGGTTAAGTCTAAAGCTTTCCAATGAGGTTCCCACTCTATTTTGTTTGCTATCTAATCATTCATTGATTTTGTATGGATATTTTTATATGTCTAGCGTAGCTTTACTATGCTTTTCTTTCTTATTTTTTCACTCCTCTTGGAGTTTGTATCTTGGAAAATTTTTGCTTTTTTAGATCAATGAAAAGTTTGTATACTGTTGAAAAAAAAAACTAGAATCTTTTCTACAAAATACTCCATCACATTGGACCACCAACACCATCATATTTAGTCAAACACCCACTTTAGTTAAAACAAAAGACAGAACAAAAGCTTTCCTCTGAAACAATGAACCACCAACAGAAGTTGAACGCCTACATCAATCGAACCAGCAGCAATGGAACAAAACAGGATTTAGAAATCAAAACTATAACATCATAAGCTGCAGTAAAACTCAAAAGTGTAACCATGGATTTTCAAACAAGCAGCTGCAAAGCTCAAATGGATACTGTGATTATAGAAAAATCAAAATCTTTCCACATTTTCTACACTTCCTGGGGTTGTTCAAGTAGATCAATTTATTTTTTGATTATTTGTGTTAAGAAATTTGATATTTCTTCTTTAGATATGCTGTACCATTGATGGAATTTTTGTCCGAAAAGATGATGTCATGTCCCCTAGATTCAACGAACTTCTTTTCCTGTTTGTTTTCTTTTTTAATAAAATCTGAAGGTTAATAAAAGAAAACCTAAAGAAATGCTTACAAAAAATCATTCTTGTTTATGTGGGTATGTGTTGCATTTACAGGATAATAGACAATAGATCATTGAGATTGATCACAGAGACATCTGAGAGCTCTCCTTCTAAGTCTGAGAAAGATTTCATTGACGGTAACCTGCGTGGTATGTCTTCTTTTTTGGTTCTGGAGTACAAATGCATGTTGACCTTGTTTTTACTTTTCTATAATAGGAAAGAGATATTTTGTTGAGGAAGAAAATTGCATTTTTCTACAAATATTCTTTGTAATTACTTCAATAATGAAATTGTGTCTTTTAACTCTTTTTTATATTTCAGTTCAAGGTCTAAATCCTCCCAATGACTTGACCTACTTTTAACTCGGTGTGGCTTCAACATGTAAAGTTGGGCTTGATATATATATATATATATTTTAACTACGCACTTTTCATCTATATATGAAAAGGAACAAAAATTGTTAAAAAATACAAACTCCCAAAGGAGGGAAAGGAAAGCTAATACAGAATAATTAGAAAATAAATCAGAAAGTGGTGCCACTGGAAATCCTTGATCTAGCAAGAAACTTTCAAGTGATGGTCTCCTTTTTTCTTCAACCCTTTGGTTTCTTTCAAACCAAAGCTCGGACACAACTTTTATACCATTGACTGAAAGGAGACTTGATTTTGAGGGCAAACACGACCAAAACAGAAATCAGAGATGATCTTTAGGACTTTCGAATCAAAAACCCAAAAGAAATTGAACAGCCGCACCAAATAATTCCAACAACTAGCAGCATAGGGGGAAAAGAAGAATAGATACATCTGGCTTTCACACCAAGCTGCACAAAGAACACATATAGATGGCTGGAGGGCCATGCTAGGGAGCTTTCTTTTCTAGAGAACTTACACTGTATTAACCTTACCATTGAGAAGGATCCAAGAAAGAACATTAACCTTCTTTGGGCTGCCGGAATTCCAAAGATTTTCACAATTGTCTTTTGGCAAAATGGAGGAAAAGCCTCTTGGCTTGCTTAGAACTTACCGAGAAGACTTCTGAAGAGTCCACAGTCCACAGTCCATCTTCTACAATCTTCTTCTTCTTTCAGAACAATCGAATTAAGGCTGGAAAGAAGTTCCAAAAGGTCTTCAATCTCTTCATCCTTCAACGTTCTTCTAGTTTCAACTCTCCAAGAGGAGGTATTCTGATCCCGGCATCATGAACAGAAATAAAAGGGAAAGAAGAGACCCTGAACAAAGTAGAAAATCTGACCTTTAACAAGGGATCACCCAATCACAAATGGTGCCAAAAAAGTATGCGCTTGCCATTCCCTAATTTGAATATGGAGAATTTTTCCACCAACTACCACTGCTAGTTAATGAAATTCCGAGGACTGTGGTCAGAACCATACTTCTTTTCTCATGCGTTCCAATCAAACCGATCAGTACCATTAATACTAGCCATTACCTGTTGCCATAATGTAGAAGATTCGGAGCTAAAACGCCACCCGTTTTTAGCTAAAAGCGCTCGATTCCTCTTTAAAAGTTTCCAACTCCCAAGCCACCTTCTTCATGAGATTGAAAGGTGATGTTCCACCTGACTAAGTGCTTTAACCATTTGCCTTATCTCCCCACAAGAAGATTCTTATAGATTTTTCTATTTGCTGGCTAACTTTCACGGGCAAATGAAATAAAGACAAATAATATAATGGAATACTATCCAAAACAGAATGGTATTAGGTCAATCTGCCCTCTTGAAATATGAAATCTCCTCCACTTATCAAGCTTCATTGAGATTTTTCTTGAATAGAATTCCAAAAATCAGGGTGTTTAGGATTCCCTCCCAAGGGAAATCCCAAATACGTAATTGGCATAGAATCAGCCTTACAATTTAGGCTAGTTGCAATCTGTAAAATTCTTTGCTTCTCGATATTAATCCACTCAATGCAGATTTGTCCCAATTCACCTTCATACCAGAGAGCCATTCAAAGACCTTTATAGTATCAAAAAGAATTTTCAAGATTGCATTGCATCATCATCCTTGCAAAACAGCAAAGTATAATCCGCGGACTGTAAGTGAGAAATATTTACAAAATCTCTCCCAACTAATAAGCTCTAAAAAATTCCCAGTGAATATTTTCAAGCAAACTCCTTAAAACATTACTAATTAAAAGGAAAAGAAAAGGTGAGAGGAGATTCTTAAACCTCTTGAAGGTGCACAAGTAGGTGTACTTGCATGGGTGTTAGCATGGACATGTGCGGTGCACACTTGCTGGCGTGAGGCCCTCTGGTTGTTGGTGTGTAGGCAGAGACATGCAAACAAGTAGATGCGTGCGTGGGTGTAGTTGGTATGTGTGAATGAAGCAAACATGTGGGGTGTGCTCTTGGGTAGCTAGTGCACCACGGGAGTTCCATTGGGGGTTGGTTCTTTGCTTGCCAAATGTTGAAGTATTGCTGTCCTTCCTTATCCAACACTTTAGTTGATGTCACCATGTCTTTGATAAGCTTGAGAAGCACTTCTTGAAGCTTTTTTGCTTTGGATCTCGTGATTGGTCTTTGGGGTACGGTTGGTACCCCAATGGCCATATCACATTCCTTCAAGTTTCATGTTTTCTTTGTACAGATACTGGCCTCTTCTTATCGAAAAGAACAAATAAGTTTTAGCAAACTTCCTTGCTTTCTCTTTCATTCCTCTTAATGAAAAGTATTGTTTCTTGTTAGAGTATTTATATTAGTATAGTTTATATTATTGTAATAATCTGTACTAGTTTGTCCTTTATTGTCCTTTTACATTCTTAGGCCTTTCTTGTATATTTGTCTATATATATTCTTCAGTAATGATAATAGAATTGTCTGATTATCTCAAACCTTAATCTCTACATGGTATTAGAGCATTAGGTCTTTTCCTAAACCATTAGGGTTTTGTGAACTTGGAGTTTGTGAAGTTTGAACCCTTAGGGATTTGTACAAAGATTTTGTCCCTGTCGTTGTCGTCATCACGTCGTCGGCCGCGACCACTGCCACGTTGGGCATCCTTCCTCCAGCCGTCGTTCGTGATTAACGTGGGTGGAGTCGCCATGCTTTGCTGCTTAGCGTGGCCTCTATCCGTCGGTCGTCAATCTCTTCATTGCCGCCCATCCGTGAGGTCCAGTTCCTCCTCGTCGTGAGATCTGGCTGCGCCCCACACTGCCACTGTTGCGCCAGTCCGCCCACTGCCCTTCTCTGCTCGATCGTCGCCTACTCATAGGGCGTCTGTCGTGGGGTCTTTGTCGTCTGTGAAAGCTGCTAGGGCTTCCACTTTCAAGTTTCAATTAGAAGCTTGAGTTGGTATTGTTTGGGTTTGGTTCGCTTTGGTTCGATTTGGTTTGAGTTCGGTTCGGTTCATCCGGTTCACCTGGTTCGATTCATCTAGTTGGTTCACTCGGTTCTCCCGGTTCGGTTCATCCAAGAGTCATTGACGGTATCGTCCTCTAATCCAATTACTGCCATCGTTGAGTCAGGTAATACTAATAAATATCTTCTTTCCTCTGCGTTAAAATGGGTCATTGACTCTGGTGCTACAAATCGTATGTCAGGTAATCCACATTTATTTACTACCTTTTCACCATCTACGTCTTTGCCTGATGTTACTCTAGCAGATGACACCACTTATTCTGTTCTTGGATCTAGCATAGTCCATCTTTCTAAATCTCTCTCGTTAATCTATGTTTTAAATTTACCACAATTCTCTTTTAATTTAATTTTTGTTAGTAGACTTACTCGTGATCTCAATTGCTATGTCTTATTCTTCCCTGGTTATTACTTATTTCAAGATCTTACGACGAATAGAACTATTGGTGGAGGGCGTGACTCTGGAGGCCTTTTACATATTTGATACCCAAATTCCTACGGCCACCATATGCACTATAATGCCATCTCCTTTAGAAGAACATCGTCATTTGAGTCATCCATCTCTCTCAGTGTTGAAGAGTCTCCGTCCTCAATTTCGCAATTTTTCCTCTTTAGACTGTGAGTCTTGTCAATTTGCTAAGTTTCACCGTCTAAGTTCATATTCTAGAGTCAATAAACGAGMTAGTACTCTATTTGAGTTAGTTCATTCTAATGTTTGGGGTCATTGTCCTATTGAATCTAAAAGTGGATTTTGGTATTTTGGTACATTTGTCGATGATTTTTGTTGCGTAACTTGGTTATATTTAATGATAAATCATTCTAAGCTACTTTCTCATTTTCGTAACTTTCATGTTGAAATTCGAACTCAGTTTGGTGGTTCTTTTAAAGTATTCCAGACTGATGATGCTAAAGAATACTTCTCCAATGTCCTTGGCTCCTATTTAGAAGATGATGGTATTCTTCATCAATCCTCATGTGACAATACTGCATCTCAAAATGAAGTTGCAGAATGGAAAAATAGACATCTTCTTGAAACAACAAGAGCCTTAATGTTTCAAATGCATGTTCCAAAATATTTTTAGGCTGATGCTGTTTTGACGGCTTGTTTCTTAATCAATCGTATGCCTTCATCAGTCTTTAAGGGTGAGATTCCTTATCGTTCTTTATGCCTTGCACAACCTTTGTTTCCTATTAAACTTAAAATATTTGGTTGTACATGTTTCGTTCGAGATGTTCGCCCCCACCTCACAGAATTGGACCCTAAGTCATTGAAATGCATTTTGCTTGGTTATTCTCGTGTTCAAAAAGTGTATCAGTGTTATTGTCCTGATCTTAATAGATATCTTGTATCGCCCGACGTCACGTTCTTTGAAGATACTTCTTTTTCATTATCCTTGGTAATAGTCAAGAGGAGCATTCAAAAGAAGATGATGAATTTCTTGTCTATTCCATTGTCTCTTCTCAGAAGTGCCCTCTAGCAATACATCTCCGTCTGTGCCTGATCCTCCTCCCACCTATTACTCAGGTTTATTCTCGTCGGCAACCTCCTCCGGTCTCATGCCCCTATACCAGCAGCTTCTTCGTCAGTGGATCAAGGAATGAGTGATGATCTTCCTGTCGCTATTCGAAAAGGTAAATGTTAGTGTTCTTATCCTGTCTCTTCTTTTGTGTCGTATAACCACCTGTCCCCCCTACTTGTTCGTTTATTGCATCCCTTGAGTCTTTATCTGTTCCTAAAACTGTTCGTGAAACTTTGTCTCATTCTGGTTGGCGTGCTGTTATGTTGGAGGGGATGATTGCCTTAGATGACAATGATACTTGGGACTTAGTTTCTCTTCTTGCAGGAAAAAAACCTATCAGTTGTAAATGGGTATTTGCTGTTAAAATTAATCCGAATGGATCAGTCGCCCAAATGAAAGCTGTCTTGTTGCTAAAGGCTATGTGCAGACTTATGGAATTGATTATTTAGTTACTTTTTCTCCGGTTGCTAAATTGGCTTTTGTCAGGTTATTTATTTCGTTGGCATCCATCTACACCATTGGCCCTTGCATCAGCTTGATATTAAAAATGCCTTCCTACATGGCGATCTTTAAGAAGTATTGGAGCAACCTCTTCGTTTTGTTGCTTAGAGGGAAAATGGAAAGGTATGTCGCATTCGTAAATCCTTGTATGGGTTGAAACAAAGTCTGCGAGCATGGTTTGAAAAATTCAGTCAGGTGATTGAGGACTTTGGAATGAAGAAGAGTAAGTCAGATCATTTTGTCTTTCATAAATGATCTAAGTTTGGTGTTATCTTACTAGTTGAACATGTTGATGATATTGTGATTACTGGTAAGTGGTAATGATACATCAGGCATCCTATCACTCAAGACTTTTCTCCATGATCAATTCCACACTAAAGATTTGGTAACGTTGAAATACTTCTTAGGAATTGAGGTAATAAGAAGCAAGAAGGGAATTCTTTTATTACAGAGAAAATATGTACTTGACTTGCTAACTGAGACAGGAAAGTTAGCTGCTAAGCCACGTAGTACCCCAATGATACCTAATTTACAACTTACAAAGGAAGGGGAGTTGTTGAAAGATCCTGAGAAGTATAGGAGGTTAGTAGGGAAGCTAAATTACCTTAGAGTTACTATGCCAGACATAGCTTATCTAGTAAGTATTATGAGTCAGTATATGAGCTCCTACGACTGACCATTGGGCTGCACTGAAACATATTCTAAGTTATTTGAAAGGTGCTTTTGGACGTGGTTTATTATATAAAGATCATGGTCATCTTAATATTGAATGTTTTTCAGATGTTGATTAGGCAGGTTCTAAGGAAAATAGAAGATCAATCTCAAGATAAAAATAGAAGATCAATCTCAAGATATTGTGTATTTGTCGAAGGTATTTTAGTTTATTGGAAAAGTAAGAAACAAAGTGGCAGTTCAAGTGCTGAATCAGAATATAGAGCTACGACATAGTTTGTCTGTGAATTAGTATGGATATATCAGCTCATGAAAGAATTGAGATTTGACATCACCACTCCAATGAAACTTTTGATGTGACAATCAAGTAGCTCTCCATATTGTATCTAATCCAGTGTTTCATAAACGAACAAAATACATTGAAGTCGATTGTCATTTTGTACGTGAGAAAATACAGCAAGGATTAGTGTCTACAAGATATGTGAAGATTGGAGAGCAGTTGGGAGATATTTTGAATAGAGCACGAATAGATCATCTCTCTAACAAGTTGGGTATGATTAACATATATGCTCCAACTAGAGGGGGAATGTTAGAGTATTTATATTAGTATAGTTTATATTATTGTAATAATCTGCACTAGTTTGTCCTTTATTGTCCTTTTATATTTTTAGGCCTTTCTTGGATATTTGTCAATATATATTCTTCAGTAATGATAATAGACTTATATGATTCTCTCAAACCTTAATCTCTCTCTACATTTCTCATGAGAAGTAAACAAGTTTATCATGAATAGAAATATGGGGTTTGCTCCAATGCTTGGTATTTCCACTAGGCTTCTTTGGCCTTGAACTGTAGCCCTCGGGAGGCCATCGTTCGGAGTCATCTTGAGTTCTTACAATTTTGTTCCTTCTGTTCTTTTAATGGGGACTGTATTTGATTTTGGAGGAGAGTATGTTATCCATATTGCTCCTTCTCTGGTTTAGAAAAAAAAAATACTGCTCCTTCTCTGATTGCCCTAGACTTTATATCTGTCTTTGCTCCAACTGGCTATGGGATATTATTATGAGATCGTAGTTACATTAAGGTGTGGTTGTGAATTCGTACTTGATATTGTTGGTGGTTGCATAAGTTAGGTACTTCAGGCTTTGGTGACATTGTTGCTTTGGTGTCATTGTTGCTGACGCATACATTTTATGTGCATATTTGCAGAGAAGTTGCTGTATTTATCTGAAAAATTTGATGCAAAGATTTTTCTTTCTCGGATACACCATGACACAAGTGCAGCAGACTTGGAGAAAGGTGCTATTGCTTTGAAAACTGACCTTAAAGGACGGACGCAGCAAAGAAAACAGTTAGTCAAAGACAATTTTGACTGTTTTGTATCATGCAAAACCACAATTGATGGTATGCAACAATCACTTGTTAGGTTTATCTTTGGCTGAATATGGCTATTGGCTACTGAGTTAATATTTACTCGAAACATGTTATATTCAGCTTTTATAATTTTATCTTCTGATATACAAGTATTTTCTATTGATCATTATGGTAATATGTTTTGTTCTTAGATATTGAGTCCAAGTTGAGACGAATTGAAGACGACCCTGAAGGTTCTGGAACTTCACATTTGTTTAACTGTATTCAAGGAGTAAGCAAGCAGGCAAATCGGGCTTTTCAGTCTCTCTTTGAGAGACAGGTCAGTGTAGTTTCAAAACTGAAAGGGATTTTGAAGTTTTTTTGATTGGAAATGGATTATATAAAGTTGCATTTTTTAGGCACAAGCTGAAAAGATCAGATCAGTCCAAGGAATGCTACAAAGGTTCAGAACACTTTTTAACTTGCCAAGTACTATTCGCAGCAGCATCAGTAAGGGTGAATATGATCTGGCAGTTCGAGAATACAAAAAAGCAAAGTCAATTGCTTTGCCATCTCATGTAAACCTCAGTTTTATACCCTCTCGTATTTTGTTTACATAATGTCTTACCACTATGCATGAGGGAGAAATCATTGATTTTTGGCTGAACCACTCTTAACTTTGTGTCATCTGTCAGCAGAGGTGTTTTCAATATAATTTGCAAAGTTGTGAGCCTTAGTGCTCCACCCTCCTTCAAAGCTCTGTTTATAAGTTCCTCTCTTCTTTATGCTCTTGTGCAAGTCATATCCAGTTTGGCAAACATATGCTACCTATCTATAATGACTTTCATTCTTAATGTAGAGTGAATAGTGTTGATAAGTACTTTGTTTAAGCTCTCTCGGATCCCTGATTTTTTCTCTTGTTTAGTAAATTGTGCTGTATTGTATATCTTATTTATTGTCTTGTGGAAATTTTCTACATCTATGGAAGTTCTTGCTTGAATGATAAAGATATTGCAAATTTATATCACTCAATTAATTTGATATCTATGTTGCACAGTCCGACAGTGGCAAAGCTACTGGACTCGCTTTATCCTGAGATTATTCCGTACCTTAATATTCTTCGTGTGGTACATATTTATCCTATATTTTCTAGTAAAATGTATCACCTTAAGTCAATGATAACGTATTGGAAGAGTTCTAGTGAATTGTAATTACAGTTTTAGGACATTGGAAACGTTATCTATCATCCAAGCACCTAAAAGTTTGAACTTCTGAACAAACAGAATGATATAACCCATGATATTGAGATATTTTTGCATTGGACCATGCTTTCCTGGAAAAATAAGATAGAACTGGCAAACAAAATTTTCAGCATAGACTCGTTACATTGTTTGGCTTGTAAATTTTAGTCGAAGAGTATTAATTTTCTTCCACTTTCCTGATGTCACTTCTGTTATTTCCTTTGCGAAGAGCCTCTTCCCAGTTAGTTTGACCGTCTCGCTTTCTTCCTTCGCTTTCTTTTTCTTTGTCTTCTCCCCTTATTTTAATGCTTTCCAGTTTTCCACTAATCCACTTCTCCCTTACTTAATATTTTCTGGTTTTCTTTGGTGGTTTTGGGGGAAAAAGAAAACTGCTAGCTATACTGCCTACTGCAACTTTATTTATTTATTTCTTTTTTCTTTTTTAAAAATAATTTCATTTTAATTGCACTTTTTTAATTTTCTCCCTAGAAGAAAATCAATCTTAAGTTTCCATTTAATTTTAATGACTATATTTTATTTTTTGCTTCATTTTTAATGACAATGTTTTTTAGAACCAATAGAACTTGGTTGTTTTATTCTTGACATTTTGATGTATATAACATTTATCTTTAATTTTAGACATTTTAGAGTATATTTACTATAATGCATTTATATTCTCTCTCAGTATTTATTTATTATAGTGGGCCTTGGTTCACTCAGGCGATGCCATTTTGTCACCTCTCACCTTGAGGTGGTCAAGTTACTTGTCTAACTTGACCGCCTTGGAGTGTGCCTCGCTTTGAAAATACTGCTCCTTGATAATGTCCTCTTCAATTACAGTGCAATGCAATATTGGAATTCCTAAGCCTTTAGTCCTATGTGGCATAATAATTTTGCAGAATCACATTTAAATTCATTGTTTCTATGTATCACTTCCTAAGATTTGTTGTATAACATCTTATATCATTCCAAAGATCTATTGTAAAACAATTGTAAGTTAAAAGGCAATGTATTTGGTATACGTAGTTGGATTTCGTTACTTGCTGAATGAAAATTAAGTGTTCTCATTGCTATGCGTTACTTTCAGGTGGGAATTTTAAAAAAAGTTCTTGAAGAGGTTGAAAAAGTGATGCATGAGTTCAAAGGCACACTCTATAAGTCAATGGAGGACCCACAAATAGATTTGACAAACGTGAGCTTTCTTTTTAACCATTTTTATAATTTTCCCTTGATCCAATAAAGGTAGAAAGGTTTGGAGATCATCCTGATGCCTTATGGCTGGCTAGCATGAGCTTCTTTATAGTCTGTGCTGGGAGCAACAATTATTGCTCACAAATTGAAGAGAGAACTCTGTTTTTTACGCATTTAGTCTTCCTGTTGCTGGAAGGTCCGCATTATGGAAATATATTTCAGATAATTATCTTTCATAGACAAGAAAAAAAATGGTATTTGCATCTTAGTGAGTTCTTGGTTTTCCTTCATATCTTTAATTCAGTTTGATTGATTGTATCATATGCATGATTACTGATGATGGTTTTCTTTTGAGAATGGAAGTTTTATACATCAGAGAACCTAGTAAAATGGTCGTTCATATACATGGTTACTATTTTTCCTCCTAGAAAAATGGTTGTTCAATTTGCCTATTGAGCATTTTAAGTTGTAATTGTGGATTAATGCCTATAAAAATTGAAACTGTAAACAACATAATTTTAAATCTTGAAGCTGTGTGATTGTTATTCAGATGGTTGTATATGGAGGATATGCATGACAAACCTTAGAATGTACAAGAATGTGTCTTACATAGGGATGTTAAAGGTGCGCTGCTGGGGCTAGTTCTAAAAGTAGCACTTATGTTTTCTAGTCATTATTCTTTATTGTTTACTTCGGTTTTATCTCTTTTTTTTGTTCCTTATCTCCCATTTCTTTATTTTATTTCTTTCTCTCTCCCTTTGGGAGATTGCATCATTTGAACAATTTCGTTTTTTTTCAAATCAACGAGAAGTTCGTATCTTGTTAAAAGAAAAAAAAAGGATGCATTGATGGGTCAAAGCAACCTGCGACAATAAAAACCCAATATATAATCCATAGGTCAACTTAGTAGTACAATCCATCAGTAATTTTTTTAAAGAGACGGAAATTTTCACCCATCGGGTAATTTTGTAAAATATTTTGTAATTTTCACTAGATGGAAATTTTCATCCATAGGTCAATTTTGTAATTTTTTTAATATGTTGTTTACATTCTTAGGAGTGCCTTTAAGATTCCCATTCTTCCATCCTTTTTATTTCGTACAAGGGGGTGGAGATTCGAAGTCACGACCTTTTGGTAGAAAATATGTGTCTTAACCAGTCCTATTTTCCCATCTTAATTCCTTCCAAAATCACAGAATAAGTTAGGTTTGTTCATTTTGTATATTATAATGTAATAGTATACCAATTGATATTTTGGGATGTTCTTATTTTTATGCAAGCTTTTTTTTTTTTTGGGTAGCTAATTTTTCTTTCGATATTTCATACAGCTTGAAAACACATTGAGACTATTAATGGAGCTGGAGCCTGAATCAGATCCTGTATGGCATTATTTGAACATACAGGTAACCAGTGCTTTCTCATGACATTTGGGTTTTCTGATCATATCATCCAATATGTGTGGCGTGCTGGTGCTATTAATATTGGATTGGCACATTCTATACTTTTTTTATTTTTTGACAATCTATAGTAGTATAGGTTTTTTTTTTTTTTTTTTTTAAACGAGAAACCAAGCTTTCGTCGAGAGAAAATGAAAGAATATCCAAGGGGCATACAAAAAACAAGGCCGACAAAGGGGATCCACCTATAAGAACGGACCCTAATCCACAAGAATGACACCTAATTGGTAAATGATAATTACAAAAAGCCTTAGACACCGAAACTCAAAGAGAGGTATTAAATCTAGCTAGCTCCCAKACCTCCTCCCAAGACCTCCCAACTCCACTGAAAATTTTGTTATTCCTTCCAACCCATGTACCCCATGGCAAAACAACAAGCCTGCCATAACAAAAGTCCTCTATCTTGAAAAGGCAGGAACAACAACACCTCCTTCAACGAAGCCATGCAATCCCTATTTCCAGCTCATGAAACCCCTAAAACGTTTAGAAATCGATTCCAAATATGTTCAGGAAATTGACAACTCCATAAAATATGATTAAGATCATCAATATCATTTTTGCAGATGACACACCATTGAGGCCCCAAAAACACAAGGAAGAATGTCAAGGAAGAATGTCTTTGGATATGATCTGTGCTATTAACTTTCCCTTGCAAAACTTGCCGGGCAAAGAACTTAACCTTCTTCGGAATCTTTACCTTCCAAAGGGAGGAAAATAACGAGGTGATAAAAGGGGAGGGATGGAGCACTCCGAAGCTGAAAAAAAGAACTACGAGTGAAACCCAAAGACGGGTTCGGGACCCAAGACACGAATGTCTTTCCTCCTTTACACGTATTAGATGTCCCCCTATCAAAGCAAGCAAAGCAGTAACCTCCCACGCCTCCTTATTCGTCAAAGACCGATAGAGATCCAAAAAAACAGAAGGGGTATTCCTCCAAGACCCCTACACTTAGGCCACTAAATGCAACCTCATCTCGAAATGGTGGTATAATCAAGGGAATAAGAGACAAAAGGGCTTGTCATCCACCTAACAATCTTTCTAGAAATAGGTTTCAGTACTATCCTCGATAGAGCAAACCCTAACCCTAATCCTACCCGCCGCCCTCTCCTTTGCCGTCCCCCATCGCTGCTGCCCGCCCTCACCTTCGCCATCGCTACTGTCCAGTTCCGTGCCGCTAGGGTTTCTCTTCGTGGCCGTTTTCTCCAATCTTCCTCCTTCCTTTTTTCTTCGGCGTAGTCGCCCAGTTCTGGGTCTTTCGCTGATGCAGTTGTACCTTTCATCTTCCTCCGACGCCCCAAGCCGTTTTTCGACGTTTTTGCAACCACCAGAATACCCATTTTTCGACGTCTCTGCAACCACCAGATTACTTTCAGGAGTGGGTTATGGATTTGAGAAGTTGCAACATTGAAAACAACTATTATTGGATTTGGAATGACAGTGACCGTTTTTTCATAAAAGACTATAGGAAGAATGGTCAGATTTCTCTTCAAATTTCCCAACTTCAGTGGTTAGAAAACAGTTTGGTGGAACTACTGCATTTTCCATTACATTCGAGGTTTCTTATGCAAGTTAGGGACGGGAATGGAACTTGTCGACTCTAGAAAAAGAGATTCTTGCACGACTGATTTTTGGAATGTGTTGTTTGGCCCACATCGGGTGGAAGAAAATTCATAACTGTACCTGCAGGGTGTAGAAAGAATAGCTGTGTAACCTTTTGGGACATGATAAAACACTCCTGGGTGAACTCCAATGGAAAGCTTTTGAAGGGGGCCTCCAACTCTCCAATGGAAAGCTTTTGAAGGGGGCCTCCAACTCTTCATTTGCAGAGAGGGTTAAGAAAAGAGATAGTATGATGGCATCCCCTACCGTAGAGGATGAGGCTTTTAAGAGAAGCAAAGGGAGCAACTCATATTGGGTTCCAAAGGAATCCGAAGTTGTGGAAATAGATTGAGATAGTGCCATGGTTATTTCACGGTTTAGTGCTCAAGATAGTTGGAAGACAATTGCTATCTCCCTCAAAAAAATCTTCTCAGAAAATTGCCAAGTCAACCTCTTCTTGGTAGATAAAGCTTTATTTAGATTCGAAGTGGAAGGTCTTTGAACTATAATTGGCTCAATGACAAATGGTGCAAGTTGGATGGATTTCACGTGAAGATGGAGAAGTGGGATCTTGAAAAACACGGCAGGAACAAAGTGTGTTTTGGTGGCTTGGTGAAAATTTGCGACTTAACTTTAGAGCTTTGGAACACAAATTGCTTCAAGGCCATTGGAACCCATCTCGGAGGTTTGAAGAAAATCTCTTCAACAACACTAACCTGGTAGAGAAGAATTTTTGTGGCTTTATTCCGGCTTCTATTGAGATAACTACAAAATATGGAGTGTTTGTGGTACAAGTGGCTGCCATAAATGAAGCTACCAAGTCATCATTTCCCTCCGTTTAGCTTTCAAAGACTTCGCCTATTGCTGATTCTTCAAATCCGTTGGATATCCAAAGATTGCAAGAAGTCTTGGTAGATGAAGAGTTTAAACTTGACAAAGCGTTTTTTAATAAGGTTAGCTTGGAAAAGCAGCCTGCATCTGACACCTTTTCTCCTCAAAACGCTCTAGTTGGCCCAACAATTGTGACGGGCTAGTTGAGCACCCTTTCGTCATTAAAGTCGTCGGCTTTTTGATAAGGAAATGGACAATATTGGCCCTACTGTTTGTCAAGAATTAAATGCGGAAGCTATTTTAAAACAAAAGCCGAAGGGCAACCCTTTTCCACCTGGTATGAAGAATACCGAAACATTAATTCAGCCTCTTCCTCTTTACTACTCTCGTAGAAAGTCTACCACTATTTTTGGAAAGGAACTCGAAAAGCCTTTGTTAGCTGGAGGGGTTCAAGTTAACTTGAATAAGGCTTTCAATAAGGAAAGGGAAGGAGTTAGCAAAGTTAGTATGGACAAGGTAAATGCTCTGTGCATTGGTTCTATGCACTCCACTAATGAGGGTTGGCCTCCTAGATCATCCTCCTTAGAATGCTCGGACAATGAATTTTGAAGATAACGATGATGCAATCAGTATTAGTAGCTTGGACTCTTCCTCAAAGTCAGACGTCCCTATTGAGGATGTTTCCGAGCATTCCTTCGAGGGAGATCTTCAAATTTTATTTAATGAGCAAAAAGAAGATGTGAGTTTAGTTTCCCCATAGCAAACAACCATTCCTTCCTTTCTGAAGAAGTGAGGATTACTCTTGTCCCATTTGAGTCTGTCCTCTGAGTTTTCAGTTATTCGGAAAGTTGGAATGTTCTCTCCTACGCCTTCTACAGTTTCAAAGCTTTGCAGTTTTAGTTCGGTTGGTTGGTTGGTGAGGCTTTCAAAGTTTTTCTCCAGTGTGTGGATTGGCATATGATGGTTTATATTTGGAGGTTTTTTGAAGACAACATTGAGGTTTAGTATTTGGTGATTACTCATTATTTGAATTCCGGCTGCAGTCTAGTTCTTGTGTCCCTAGATTCTACTTGGTTCTTTTTGGAGTTTGGTCTTTGCTCTTGGTGCCAAGGAAGGTTTTTCCCTCGTGCGGATGTTGGCTATGGATTTAGTTTGGTTTCCAAGCTCTCAGTAGCAAGCAATTTTTCTGAGTTCTGTTTTAGAATGTTTTTATTTTTTTCGAGCTTGTATTGCTCTTGTTGTACTATTTCTTCGTTATTTTCTCTTTTCTCTCTTCTTTTTTCACCCCTTCGGGGTTTGTATCTTGAACATTTTTCCTTTTCATATATCAATGAAAAGTTGTTTCTTGTTAAAAAAAAAAAAACTAACCCCGATAGAGCAGGAAACAAACCGAGAGAAGCTGAGAAAAATAGAGAAAATGGTATTCTAGGGGCACTTACTTAGAGGAATGACTTGAGAGGAATGGTAGAATTTTTAGAGGTAGAGAAAGGTTGGATAGAGGTTAGGAAGTTGTTAGGTTTAATACTTCCTTATGCGCATCTACATCTTGACCATTTTGTAATTATCAATTAGGGCTTATTCTTTTTTATTCTAGTTCGCTTTTGCTTAGTTAGGGCTTCAAATCCTTTTGTGGGGTTTGGTTTTTTGTTTGTCTCTTGTATACTCAGGAATGGTAGAATTTTTGGTTTTTTGTTTCTCATTTAAAGCTTGGTTTTTCATTAAAAAAAAGCCCTTGGATTAGAATTCTAAACATTGGGACTAAGAATTTTAAGTTAAAAAAACTAGGATATCCTAGATTAAGATGCCAAAACATTATTTTCTCATTAACAGAAGGAGAATTAACAATCATTACTGAAGTTTTGAGATTTTTTATTATTAGTCGGGAGCTCATCGAAGAAGTAGGTACCTTCGAGCATCCTAGCACGTCCAATCATTCTCTTCGAGTCCCAATCCTAAAAGATGCAATATGACAGTTAGGATCTCTAGAGATTTTACTAATAGAGAAAATATTGCATGCTAATATAGGAACAGGAAGGACATATATTAAAGCCATAGTATCTGTTAATTGAATAGTTCATTTTCTGCGATAGAAGAGAGTGGCATTTGCTATTTGATTTCTTTAATTACAGTAATATGGAGAGTAGGAATGAAAAAGTTCGTGAGAAACTACTCATATGAACAAAAGCTCTGAAATCTATAGTCCACGGAGATGACTTGATGCAGTGTGAGGTTACTGATTGTGTCAAGGAAATACTAGGATTTGTAGATGATGAATTAAGTAGTGTAACTACATAGAATTTTTATTAGCTTCAAGATTAGCCTTTGAAAGAGTACAATAACTCTTATTTATATGGAAGAGGCCACAACTTTTAGATGATTTAAGTAAACTAGTCCTTAGCCACACATCTAACTAACAATGCCCTTAACTAACTAACTAATCTTTAAAAATAGTTAGTTACACATCAATTTCTCTCCGTCCTAAGAAAGAACTCTCCTCGAGTTGAATGGCTAAGGTAAAACCATCTAGAGCTTGAAAAGCGAATATATCAGCAACATTAAAATAGGGCTGATGTTGAAATCTGATGGTTGGTTGATTTGTAGGCATTGGGTCCATATTGCTTCAAAATTTCTAAAGGTTCCACCTTCTTTTTCTTCAATTTGTTATATGTACCCAAGGGGAATCTTCCTTTCTCAAGTGAATCATGACTAAGTCTCCTTCCTTGAATTTTTTCGGCCTCTTTGTATTTGGAGTTTGCTTCTTCGATATGGTCACGAATCTCTTTATGTAGCTCACTTATTCTAGTGGCCTTAATACTAAAATCAAGCGAAGAGGGTCAATCATTACACGAGGTAGTTTAGTGTAAACAATTTCAAATGGGGACTTCTGATCGATTTTGCTTATGATTGAAGGTAAATTCGGCTTGAGTGAGTGCTACGTCCCATTGTTTTGGTCGATCACCGCTTAGGCAACAGATTTAATTGCCCAAAGTTCTATTAGTCACTTTAGTTTGTCCATCGGCTTGAGGATGATTCGTGGTATTGAATTTAAGGGTAGTGTCACATTTTTGCCATAAGGTTCTCCAAAAGTGACTAAGGAGTTTGATATCACGATCCGAAATGATGATCTTACGAATCCTGTGCAAACGGACTATTTCCCTGAAAAGTAGATTAGCTACATATATGTCGTTAGAGGTTTTCTTACAAGCCAAAAAAGGGACATCTTACTAAAACGGTCAACCACAACAAGAACTGAATCAAATCCTCTTTGGGTTTTGGGGGTCCTAAAATGGAGTTCGTAGAGAGGTCCTCTGTATATTAGTTGGTGTCGAAAGAGGTGTGTAAAGACCGGTATTAGCTTTCGGAGTTTGTTTGGCTCGTCCTAGAGAGTGTAACGCTATGTTAGAAAAGACCCTCCTCCACTCCCTGCTTTGGGATGAGGGCCATTTTCTTGGTTTGCAGGTTTCGTTGCTGTTTTTGGGGCTTTGGATTAAGAGGAATAACAAGATTTTTAGAAGGGTTGAAAGTTCATGGGAGGAGGTTTGGGACCTTGTTAGGTATCATGTTTCTTTTTGGGCTCCTATGTCTTCGGGCTTCTATGTCTAAAGCCATTTATAATTACTTCGTCAGATTTGGTTAGATCGAGCCATTTCTTTTAGTTTGGCTGGTTTTCTTGGGCTGCCTTTTTGTATGCTCTTTTGAATTCTTTTATTTGTGTTAATGGAAGCTCAAACTCTTTATTAGGAAAAAAAAGCTCAATGAGTTACTTTTGTTTCTTTGTTTTTTTAATAGAATCACAAGATTCGAGGATTCCTTGAGAAGTGCACCTTAGATCATGAATCAAGAATGGAATCATTGCATAATAAGATGCGTGAAAGAGCTCTTGCTGATGCAAGATGGAGGCAGATTCAGCAAGATGTGAATCAATCTGTAAGTCAAATCATTAAAGATGATTATCTTATGATGGTGTGAACAAATTAATTAATTTGAGCATGGCCTTAATTTTAATTTTTTATTGTTGTCAGTCAGATGTTGATTATTCAGCAGATATGGAACCAGTGGAAGTAAATAGTGAAGAAGTTGATGCTCTTAGAGCTAGATATATTCGGAGATTGACTGCTGTACTTATACATCACATACCAGTGTTTTGGAAAACTGCTCTTTCTGTTTTCAGTGGGAAATTTGCGAAGGTATTTTAACAATTAAATTCTTCTACATGCGAGATCAATTAGTGATCTAGTGCAAGTTGTCTTTTTATGTCCATATTTTGGTTACTATCTATGTTTTAATGTTGATTGGGAGTGCTTTCTTTGACCCCTTTATTTTTAGCTGGTCCCCCCTCCCCCCCCCACCAAAAAAAAAGGACAAAGGAATGGAACTTATCGGCAGTATTGTTCTCCAACTTGTAATTTTCTTAATGGGTTGATGCATGAGTGACCTTTTAGTTAAATTTTAACATTTTTGTTTGGTAAAAGTTACTTTTCTCTGATATTTAATGCTTGCGAGGATAAGATTATTTATTTGCTTAGCTTTTATTATAGCCGGCCCTTATCTTGATGCTTGATTTTCATCATTTCAGTCTTCTCAAGTTTCCACTGAATCAAATGCTAACACCTCAGCAAGCAAAAATGAGGACAAGGTTGGTGAGGGGAAATACTCAAATCATTCTCTAGAGGAAGTTGTTGGGATGATACGCAATACCCTGTCTGCATATGAAGTTAAGGTGCGAATGCAATTGGACAATCATATGTGTATATCTTGGATAGTCTCTAGATTAATGGTATTGGATTGGATGATTTCTGCTCAGGGCATAAATTTACTGATGCGCTATATGCACACATTACAAGTTTTTTTATAATCACTCTTGACTCTGTTTTTGAAGGATACTCTGTTCTCATCCGTGAAAAGCAGACTCTTTAGAATGGGGAGAGTATTTCCCCATGACATTTTGGAGGGGATTGTCATTCATGTAGTTGGCTTGGAAAATTTGTAGTTACCCTTTATTTTCTTTTTACCTAACCAGGAGAATTTAAAAAAAAAACCTCCTTGGCCTTAGGAGGACGACTAAATATCCTCTTTGTATCTTCTTATTGATACAATTTTTATCATGCTTCCTCATTATATAAGTCTATGCTCCCATGTGAGCAGGGCGTTAAGAAAATACTCCTTTTGTTTTTCTTCACTCAGAAATATGAACTAAATAAGTCATATTAGTTAATTCAATCTACAATTCTACATTCATCACAATTGGTCCCTTCATGGCGTACAGGCCCTTAACTTAGGCAATTGTGTTAAATGCTTAACTCGTGTGCAGGTTCTAAGCACCTTTCGTGATCTTGAAGAATCAAATATCCTTCTGTCATATATGAGTGATTCCATAAAAGAAATATGTAGCGCATGTCAAGCTTTTGAAGTGAAGGAATCAGCTCCTATAAGTGCTGGTATCTAGCTAGACATCATTTATACCTAAATCTTGTTTACCATTCAAAGCATTCTCATTTTTTTTTTTGCTTTCTGTGAGCACAGTGATTTCAATGCGAACACTTCAATCAGAGGTGACAAAGGTTTACATTTTAAGGCTTTGTGCATGGATGCGAGCTACCATTGCAAATATTTCAAAAGAAGAAACATGGGTCCGAGCATCAATTATTGAGAGGAATAAATCTCCATACACAATCTCTTTCATGCCTCTAGCATTTCGGTCTGTCATGTCTTCAGCAATGGATCAAATAAATTGGTAAGTCTCTAAAGCTCGGTGTTATACAAGTTTTCTGTTGTATTCTGTTTCTGATACCACAGAGGAGAAAATTATAAAAGCAGAGGTCTTGCCTGTCTACTAAGCTATTTTCACAGGAATTTGCTATCGAAAGACAACTGGTTGATCCACCTATTAGAAAGGAGATCTCTTAGGCAGGCAGGACCTCTTGTCAGCCTTTAGACGTATACTGTTTAATGGAAGATTATTTGTTTGAAAAATGTGTACATGCATGACTATTTTTTTGCCCCTTTTGAATAACTTTCAGCAAAATGTTATTGCAAGATCTACTACTTTCTGGAAATACAATCAGGAACTTCCTTTTTAAAAGAATAATTAATTATTTTATTAAACTGATTCTCAATTCTTGCATTAATTTTTCAGTATGGTTCAGTCTTTAACAAGTGAGGCTTCAAAGTCGGAGGATATATTTTTGCTACTTCAAGAAATTGAGGAATCTGTTAGACTTGCATTTTTGAACAGTTTCCTTGATTTTGCAGGTATTACGTGCTACTAACTGTCTTCGTTATCCTTGCATGGATATACTTCTTAGATGTAACTAGTGATATAAATCTATTTTATGCATACCTTATCTAGGTCATTTGGAGAATATTGGAAGTGAGCTTGCCCAGAACAAACAAAACAAAGAAAGTCCACAGTTGCAGAATGGATTTTCTCATGTCTTGCAAGAAAAACTGCTTTCAGATGTGCCTGGGAGTATTGTGAATCCACACCAACAATTGTTAATAGTCTTGAGTAATATTGGATATTGCAAAGATGAACTTTCATGTGAATTATACAGCAAGTACAAGCATATTTGGTTGCATTCTAGGTGAGCAGTTGAGGCTCACTTTGCCCTAGTAGATATAATGTTATATCATTCAGGCTTATGAAATTGGTTATAATATTTTTTCCTAGATACAATATAAGATCTAATGGTTGACATGAGATGTATAATATTAAAGTGCAGTGCTTTATATATTTTTAATTTTGATCACTTTAAGCTCCTTGGATTGAGACTATGAATGCCTAAAGAGTTCTATAATTTTGCGAGTTCTCCACTAACACTCTCTCATCATTCCAGGATAAAAACTGAAGACGATAGTAGTGATCTACAAGATCTTGTTATGTCCTTTTCTGCGCTTGAAGAAAAGGTTCTTGAACAGTACACATATGCAAAGGTATTGTAGAAATATATTCTAAATTTATATGGAATTCATTGTTTTAGAGCAGCAACTCTCGTTACATGATTCCAGCTTTCTCATTAGAAGTATATTCTTACCATCCCGAGTTCAGACTTTCTTGCAAATATTTTGAAATGCGGAGTGAGTAATCTGCAGCTCGACCTAAGTGCGGCCTCCACATTTTTTCTTGAGCCTAAGTGGAGTAGGACCCATTTAAAGGCAGAATAATCAGGAACCTTTAAAAATATAAAGAACTATAGGATATCGATCAGAATGAATCCTAACTTGGAGTTTCTTTAGGTCAACCTTAAAAATGTGTAAGGTATCACCTTACTTGATTTTCAAAAACAAGGTTAAGTTGCTCTTGGGCATTACAAAACACTCCAGCCTATTAGAGAGGGCTGAGAAACTCTCCCACACCGTGCCTACAGTCCTTACACAAAAAAAAATCTACCCGCAACCTTTTCTTGCCAGACAATATTTCCCCCCCTTACATACCATACCACAAGGATTCTAACTAACAGTGGGTGGGAAATTTCCATCTTTGCCCTTCCTAGCATGGGTATTCGTAATTTTTCTTCTTTTGTTAGTTCATAAGAAGAAGGTTGTCGAGGGTGCCTGATAATCTTTATGTTCTGTTGTACTTTATTTTTTCATCATGAAGTTTTGTTTCAGATATAGATATATACATACATGGGAAATTTTCTGCTTCAAAAGAAATAGTTCTTAGTCGTGTAATTAATCCTGAATTGCGATGTGATATCAAGGATTCACTATGTATCTCTTAAGAATTTAAATGAACCCGATGCAATGGGATGAGTCTCCTTTACAATTTTTCTTTTTGAAGTTTCTTTAGAGGGAAATTTCTGTGCCTAGCTGGCCTTAATATTGTCCTCTGGAGTTTAGTCCTTGAGAGGATGGGAGGATAGGAAGGTTTTCAGGTTATGCAGACTCTTGGAAGGAGGTTCGGAGTACTGTACATTCCAGTACCTTCCTTTTAGTTTCTCCTAACAGGAATTTTGTGATTATTATTATTATTATTATTATTATTATTATTATTATTATAGTTCATCAAAAATGGGTGGAGTGTAGTTTGAACCTTTGACCTCGTAGAATATTAATTTATGCTTTAACCAGTGAGTTTTGCCTAAGGTGGTGATTATTACTCATTTTAGTTGCTTACAATCAGAGATTTTTCTTATTGTTTCTTTTCAGTCCAGCTACTTTAATAAAAATTGTTTTCTTACCAAATGAGAAAGTAAAAAATGTGTTCTCATGATTTACAGTGCATTATAATTGTAAAGTGTATAATATTCTTTTGTATTCTTTCATTATTCTCAATGAAAGCTTGGTTTTCTATAAAAAGAATGAAAATTCGCTTCTATTTAATATCTTGATGAGTTCCCTCTTCTAGCATAATCAGTCGCATTGTTGAGGCTTAAAGATAATTTGAGACTCATATTGCACATAAATAAATGGTAAAATTAGTTAATCTGTGATGGAATATCGAATTTTATTTGAATTTTAAACATTCAATAAAAATATCGGTGATTTTTTCTTGTAGTGTATATCTATCAAATAATTTATTGTTTCTTATATAATGATTTTGAATGAAAAGTTGTACCCTTATAGAGCAAATGAGAGAATATACAACTGGGCATTAGAAAAAACAGGCAAACGAAAGTGAATGCAAAAGCAAGACAAAACTAAATCATTTTCCTTTTATCATCGCTTAGTTACAAAATTTTTTCCAAATTTCTAATTAGATGGTCTAGTATTCCTAAAATTTAGCAGATAGTTTTGTTTTCATCATTACTTTGTACAAACTTTTACTGCAAGCATTCATGCCCTAATAGGTGATTGTCTTCACATCAGGCAAATTTGATGAGAACAGCTGCTATGAATTATTTATTGGATTCCGGAGTCCACTGGGGAGCTGCTCCTGCAGTTAAGGTAGGTACTGTCCACTGTACTATACGCATGAGTGCCCCTACTAATAGCACTGCCACTGCCCTTTATTTTCCTTATTTATGCTTCCTATATTCATCTAAAACTAGTACTCTTTGTTATTTTATTCTTTTATTTTTTTGCAGGGTGTGCGTGATGCAGGTGTAGAGTTACTCCACACTCTTGTGTCTGTTCATGCTGAGGTAATCTTACCATGAAATTTAGGATAATACCATGTTTAAGAGGAATTGCATTCTCGTTGTTCTGAATTTCCTTCTGGATATTAAAACATTTTTAATTATTAAACGTTTTTAATTCTTGTATGCCCTGAAGGTGTTATATCCTCTGTCGAAAAGTTGCTTCTGTAACACATTTCTTGTTCTCATTCCATTTGCCTCTCTCCTTACGTCTAATTACTGGTTCCAGCTAACTGGCTCCCATATTCATCTATTGTTTCAGGTTTTTGCTGGTGTTAAGCCCCTTTTGGACAAGACACTAGGCATTCTTGTTGAAGGTCTAATTGATACTTTTCTCAGCCTATTTGATGAGAACGGAACACAAGAGCTTAGGTCCCTTGACACAAATGGCTTCTGTCAACTCATGCTTGAGGTAAAATTAGTGTTCCACATTGGGGAAGCGCTGTATATTTCAAATAACCAAGGGGTGCTCGGAGATCTGCTTTAGTATGATACAATTCTGGTCGAATACTCTATGTTTTTCATAGATTTTAACAGAGGAAAGGGTTAGAAAATGAAGTGTTGGTCTATGTCCTTTAAAGTCAAATGAAGAAATAAATTGCCCACTCTCCAATTCCAACAAAATAATAATAATAACAATGTGATGAAGGGGAGGATAACCTGCATCTTTCTCATGTCTCCTTTTTGTCGGAATCAGGATTTTCTGTGCATTGGAGCAGCTTCATTTAGATGATTATAGTGCCTGACTTGTGCTCTGTTTGCAGCTTGAGTACTTTGAGACCATATTAAATCCTTATTTCACACCTGCCGCAAGAGAGTCTTTGAAGTCTTTGCAAGGAGTGCTTTTGGAGAAGGCTACTGAAAGTATGACAGATGCAGCTGATAATCCAGGTCATAGTCGTCGGGCAACTCGCGGGAGCGAGGATGCTGTAGATGAACGACAGCAAGGGGCAACTGCCCCAGATGAACTTATTGTAAGGAGCATCTTTTGACATCTCATTCTCTTTTAACATGTCAAAGTTCAAAATAATGTTTTCCTAGACTTCCTCTTTATCATTTTAGATTTGTCATTATTATATTGTTATTCAATTTACGCTAAATATACATTTCAGTTCCTATGTTTGGGTGTTTTTTAAATTTAGTCCCTTATGTTTAAGGTTTTCAATTATACCATTTTTGCTTGTGAATATTAGAATTGATTGTTGATAATTTATAGGACACGACGCTTAATGAGCTGAAAGAAATTTAAAGGAGGAATTATGCTCTGCTTAAGAGAGAAAAAGTCAAAATTCCAACCAACTTCTTAGAGCTTTTTAGAAGGAATTAGAAACTTCCTATCTTGCAGAGCATAGTTCCTTATCTAAATTTCTTTTTAACTCACCCTAGTATCACGTCTGGTAAACTTATCATCAATCAATTTTAACATTCACTTATGAATATTAAAACACAAGGAATTAAATTAAAACTTTTTAAACAATATGAACTAAATTGAAAAATTACGTAAATATTAAGGACTAAAACATATCATTAGTTCTAGTTCAATTTAGGGACTGAAAGTGAAACATATACTTAGTTAATTTAATAGCCTGATAATGGAATTATCTAAAAACTAGGACAACTACGACGTCAGAAATCATATTTTCATGTGTTACCAATTGCAACATAATAATTGCTACCAACTACGATTTATATGACCAGAAATGTCTTCTCTTCTAGACGGTACTGTCCATTGGGCTATCGTTGAGTATTTTTCTGTGTTACAGGCAATGGCGCAGCAATATAGCACAGAGTTACTTCAACAGGAGCTTGAGAGAACACGAATAAATACTGCTTGCTTTGTGGAGGCGATTCCATTAGATTCAGTACCTGAACCCGCCAAGGCAGCATATGCTTCATTTAGAGGATCAGTAGATACCACTTCTAAAGGCGTAACTGCCACGGGATCTCCATCTTTCTCCTCCCGAACCAAGCGTCGATAGTAGGCTTGTTCTTCTCTGTTTGATAAATTTCCCATGTCAATGCACGAGTACTTTTTGGTTTCGTTCATCCTTGTAATTAAAACGTCATTGGTAATCCTAGTTTTATTCTTTCAGTGGTCGGTTTTTACTGTATTTGATTAATGTCTCTATATTATTTATTATATTTTGCTCCGAGTATATGTACATTTCCAACGAAACTTTGTGTTAGTATTATGCTCGATTGATTGGGTTTATACACAGCCAGTTTTTCATCTTAGAACTATGAAGCACTCATTGTTATGCTCTCCCTGGTTGTCTAAATGTGCAACTGTCTTGTTTGATTGATGTTGGCAATTTTTCAGTTTTTCCATTGTTTGCTAGATGGGGTAGCAACCAGAAGCTTCTAGATGAACTCGGCTCATTAAGGTAGCCTAATTCTCAACTCTAATAGGTCTACGTTTAGAGCTCGTTGCACTGAAAAATAAGTCGTCATTTTTAAGTATTCAAAAACTATTGATTCAAAAGACTTATTCACTGCTTGTTGCAGGATCGAAGGTGGCAGTGCTCGAGAATGGAAGATCGGGGAATAGCAGTAAATATGTCATCAAAGAGAACTCTCATGATATTCCCTACTGCAAAAATGGAGTATAAAATGCTTTATATTGACAAGAGTCAAGATTTCATTGATATAAAAGAAAACAGAACATTAATTGCATCCAAAGATGCACCTCAAAGTTTTGAGCTTGAGAAGTGGAAATATTTAGTTGGATCTTATATTGAATTTTCATGAGTTCATACTGCAAGAATGGGAGTACTTGGGGGAGGAGAAGATTAGTAATTGGAATGAGAGCTCTTTTTATATCCATGAGGTTGACATCAATATAAAACGTGAATCAACAGTTCTACAATATCACAAGAAAACAAATTGATAAAATATAATGTATCACAAGGAAAAAAAATTGATAACATATTTAAAATATCATTAATGTGGACGTTAAATTAATAATAAGAGTTTATAATTTATTTAAAAAGGGTTAAATGTTTACTCGTTGATTAAAATATTTTTTTATGATTTTTAAAACAATTATCAATATTTTTGTCGATATTGATATCAAATTTTGATTTTTACAAGGCACGCTTCGCTGCTTTCTTGCGGACCTATCACTTTGGAGTCAAGTGCATGTGGAGATCAATTATACCATAATGTTTAAACTAACATGCTAATAAAGCTATAGATACAAGACATTTTTTGCCTCATTGGGAGAAATATGAATTTTTGCACAAAATTATGATCCATTTATTCGTAGTCAGCATTTTAGATTAGGAATGTCCATGTTTCAAAGGATACTTGATGGGAATTTGAATAAGATGTTAAATTTATGTGACAAAGAATAATAACAAGGTTAAATATATGTTTGTATCTCTAATGTTTGAGTATTTTTTTTTTTTAATTTAGTCCTATGACTTAAAAAGTTTTAATTTCGTCCCTCATGTTTTAGTATTTTAATGGTTACCATAAGTGGATGTCAAAGTTGGTTGATGATAAACATTTATGACATATTGTTTAGTGGATTGGCATAAGTTTAGAAGAGAAAATGTAATCAAAGGAAGAATACTCGAAATTTCTACCAATTTCTAAGAAATTTGGACATTTTTTCTCGTTTCATAAAAGTAAGTTAAAATTTGTTAATAAGAAGTTCATGTGCCATAAAATTATTGTTTTGTTAACATATTTGGATACGTAGACAAGTCACTCTAAAAAATGCATTTTGTTGATGARCCGTCCACATTTTGTTAATGGGCTAATTGATAATGGGCTAATTGGGTTTCATGAGTCCAAAAGTATCCAAGTTGTATATTAAATATATTAATAAGACAATAGTTGAAGGGTTAATACACAACTAGACTATTTTTAATATCATAATTATAAAAGTGTCAATAACCTTAAATATTTACCCTAGAGATATCGGTTTGCCCATATGTAAATTACCAATTCGACTATAGTGATATTTTTAATAATAGAAAAAGGAATATAAGGAAAAGGAAAGTTTTTAATTTGACTCTTGTCTCTCTCAAACCTTAATCTCTTTCTCTCTCTCCCTTAGAAATCCAATTGAATGTTTCCTCTCTCCTTTCTCCAATTGGAATGTCACCGAAAACAYGACAAAGAGCACCAAGAGTCGAGCCAAGCATCTAAAAAGTGATACCGAATTCTTTCTAACTAACTATTGGAAACGTTGATAAGCCCCCACTAAAATTCACTCTAAAACTCACCAATTTTAAAGAGAAGAAATTTGTTATCTTATGAAATTTTTTCTTCAATTTCTATCTTCTTGGTTACGAAGGAGGGAAGTGATTCCTTTGTATAATATCTAAGAGACACCTCTAAAATATACAAAATAAATATGGATACATTTATACACATCATTCATGTATCTCAATACATTAACTTACATATATCTAACCATTAATGTACCTAGGCATTCATGAATGCGTCTAGGGAGAATTAATCTAGCTTAATTCTAACATCCCATAAGCTAGACTTCCATGATTCCAAGCTTCTACTTCATTTTCAAGAACAAATCTATCTTTAGTGCTTTTGTATATATATCTACAATTTGATCTAGGGTCTTGCAATGCTCGATTTCTCCATCTTTTATCAATTATCTGATAAATGATATTTGATCTTTATATGTTTACTCATTCCATGAAAAATTGGATTTTTCAAAAGAGCAATGGATGAGGTATGTCACAAAACATGATAGTCCCTCTTTCTTGAGAACACTTCAATTTATGTAGCACATTTCTCTGCAAAAGTACTTGACAATTAGTCGTAGATAAAGAGATGTATTCAACTTCAATTGTTGAGAATGCTACAACATCCTACTTCTTTGATGCCCACGAAATTGCACTAGAACCAATACTAAAAACATATCCAGAAGTGCTTTTATAATCACCAATATTTTCTCCCTAATCACTATCACTATATCCAACAGAACATTATCCATATTCTTCTTATTGTGAATTCCATGATTAATAGTTCCAAGAACATATCAAAGAACTCTTTTTCCAGTTTCCCAATGACTTATCTTTTGTGATGCCATAAATCCACTCAATAAACTCACTGATAACATAAGATTAGGTCTATCGTAGATAAATACATTAAACTTCCAACGAGACGATGGTGGCATAAAAATCTCCACTTTCATCATGCTTGCTCAATCTCAAACCTACTTCCATAGGAGTATTGACAGGATAAGCATTCTCCATTTTGAACTTGAACAGCAAATCCTTTGCATACATCTGTTGGGAAATATTAATCCCAATATCACTTTGCTTAACTTCAATACCAAGAAAGTTATGAAGTAAGCTCATATCAATCATCTCAAATTCTTTCTTCATGCTCTCTTTGAACTCATCAAGCATCATAGTTGAAGCTCCTGAAAATATTAAATCATCAACATATAAACAAATGATCAAGAAATTATCATTTTTTTTTTGTCTTATTTGGTGTAGAGAGCATGTTGATATAGACATCTTTTGAAATCATTCTTTAGGAAGAAACTATCAATACAACTGTATTAGACTCTCGGTGCTTGCTTTAGCCTGTACAATGCTTTCTTCAATCGACACACCTTATTCTCGTCTCCAATCTTCACAAAACCAGGGGTTGCTCAACATATATTTCTTCCTACAAGCACCCATGTAGAAAAGATAACTTGACATCATTTGATGTACTTTCCCGTCATTTGTACTGCAGGAGCTAAAATCAATTTTACAATCTCTAAGCGGGTCACAGGTGCAAAAATTTCTTTATAATCCACACCATACTTTTGCTTGTACCCTTTAACGACAAGTCTTGCCTTGTGTTTTTCAACTTCACCATTTTGCTTTAAATTCATTCGATAGACCCATTTTGACTCCAAGAGCTTTTCTATTATCTAGTAAGTTGACTAACTCTCATGTCTCATTTCTTCAGATTGCATCGATCTCTTGATCCATTGCAACTTTCCAGTTTTCATCTTGAATTGTCTCGTCAAAGTATGTAGGATCAACATCTACAAATAAAGCAAAATCAACATGATCATCTTAAAGTATTCTTTTTGAAGCATTATAGATCTCTTGAATATTCCATATCTTCCTTTGTGGAGTTGATTCATCACTTGTGGAAAGTGGATATACTGGTTGAGTTTCTTCAAGCTCCAAGTCTTGAGCATCTCCTTTGTCATTTATGTCAACAAGTAATGGATTATGGTTTTCATTTGTTGCATCCCACCTCCAAAATTCTGCTTCATTGAATTTGACATCTCGGTTGATAATGATTTTCTTGCTTATAGGATTGAATAATCTACAAGCCTTGGACTTTCTCACTATACCCGACAAAATGCCATTTTCTGATTTATCATCTAGCTGACCTCTTTTCTCATTAGATACATGAGAATAAGCACAACTAAATACTCTTAGGTGACTAACAGTTGGCTTTAATCCATTCCATGCTTCTTGAGGAATAAGACCTTGAACACTTTTGATTGAAGCCCGATAAGATAAATAGCACATGTCACCGTATCTCCTCAAAATTCATTTGGGAGATTATTGGCCTTCAACATAGTCCTTGCAAGCTCCATTATTGTTTTGTTCTTTCTCTCTGCAACTCCATTTTGTTTAGGAGTTCTTAAAACAGTCTTTTGATGCTTAATTCTATTTTCCTCCAAAAAATCTTCAAAGGCAATATAATCTCCATCACGATAAGAATGCAACATTTTCAATTTCAAGTTGCTTTCATTTTCAACCATTGCCTTGAATATTTTGAAATACTCGAAAGTATAACTTTTTTCTTTTAATAGGTAAATTCATGTCTTTAGACCACAAGCATCAATAAATGTGAGAAAATAATGATGTGATTGGTCACCTAAAACAAAAAAAAAAGGTATGCGAAAAGATATTTTTCTTGATTAGTGGATTGAGTGTAGGAAAGATGTTAGCACCTAAAGCATCTATTCAAAAAGATTACTATATTTTATCTTAAATTGTCCTATTATTTTTTTTGTCCAAAAAGAAAACTATATTTGTGTTTTATTTTAAATGTCCCATGATATTAATTCACATTTTAATAATAAAATATGATTTAACAAAAATGCCAGGGAGGCCTATAAAAAAATAGTCACCTCAATGAGATTGGAGAATTATCCTTTCAAATTTATGTCATTAGAGTTTTTAAAAGAACTCGTTTTAAAAGATTTATTTTAAAACAATGATAGAGTTAAGAAATTTGGTCTTATTAAAAATGTGAGAAATTTTAAAAACTTTTTTTTTCACTCTTATCTGTAACTGATTTTATTTTCTTTATTTACAAAAATGTTCTTTTTATTAAAAGGGAAAAAAAGAAAACAGAATCCACTTACTTACACTTAAGGTCCGGATTGCCGGATTAGTGGTGGTCGTTGGAGGTTTGGCGCTGTGGGACGGTGTGAATGAGCTGTTGTGGTTGGATTTGGGAGAGATTTGAAGAGTGAGAAGAACAAGGGAGAGAAAGAGGTAATAGAAAAATTAGAGAGAGAGAGTAGTAGTGGATTTTCATTCATACCGCTCCACTTTACCATTTTCTTTTGAGCTCCTCGTCCCTCATTGAAGAGAAATTAAATCTCTTTCTCAGGATAAGTAAGGTGGGTTGCTCAAATAAAGTTAGAGATTAAAGAGAAAAAGTTAAGGATCGAAAGAAAAAGCTCAACAAATGTTTAATTGTTTCTTTATGTTACCACCTGACTATGCTTGGTGTACTCTCTCTATTGTCTTTTCTGCTATAGTTGGGAGTTAGTAAGGAAGTAGTTCATCTACTCCCTTGTGTTTTCTTGAAAGCTTTTACTTCCTCTTCTCCTCTTTGTCTATTTATTCGTTATGTATTCTTTCTCTAAAACATTTGAATACAATCACAAAGTGTTAAAAGAAAAACTCTCTGGCTTTCCATCTTCTTGAATATTCAAACTCAAACTTAGTATCAGAGCATCAATATGGCTTACCCAAATCCTAAACCCAATCCCACAGATGTTCCTGTCCATGTTACCAAGCCCCAGGGAGTCATAGAAGTGCGATCTGGTACTATCCCAGTTGGAAACCCACTCTTTGCAACCTTATTGAATCAAGCCTCATAAGCTTGAGGGACACCACACTGGAAAAAGCCCAGCACCAGAAATATCCATTGTTATTTCTCCAACTGAAGAGGAACCTGAAGGCCTTCTGCTACCAAATCCGGAATATGATGTATGGGATGCTGCAAATCAACTACTTGTTGGATGGCTCTACAACTCAATGACCCCAGAGGTTGCATCCCAAGTCACAAATTGTAACATTGCTCAAGAACTTTGGACCGCCCTTCAGGACTTCTATCGTGTTCAAGCCACCTCTCAAAAAGATTTTATCAAGAGCACGATGCAAAAAACTCGAAAAGGGGGTATGAAAATGGCCTATTATCTAAGTTTAATGAAAGGTTATGCTGATAGTTTGCATTTGGCAGGTTATCCAACGGAAATGAAAGACCTCATCTCTTGTGTCATAGCTGGACTTAGAAGTACACGCCCATTGTGGTTGTTATAAAAAACATGAAGCTGAATTGGAATGAAGTCCAATCTCAACTGCTCACTTTCGAGATGCATCAGGCACAATTTCAAGCCTTAAAAAATGTGGTTCCATCACTCAACCCTCTGCTAATATTGCTACTAATAGCACACCAATAAACAGCCTCACTCACAGACCAAGAACCACAATAGCAACTTCAACAAGGGCTATAGAGGATTTGGCAAGGGGAGAAACTTTGGAAACTCTAAACCAATCTTTCAGGTACGGTGTCTGGTAAGGTTGGTCATACTGCAGCAGTTTGCTACTTCCGTTTTAAGAGAAATTTTCATCCTAATCAGAATTTCAGCAAGGGGGAAGTTCTTCCTATTCAAAACAACATTCTGGCAATTCTTCAGCTATGCTTGCTACTCCAGAAACTCTTCATGACAATGCTTGGTATTTAGACAATGGTGCTAGCAGTCATTTGACATCAGATATTGGCAATCTATCCATCAAGACTGATATACAGGTATGGCACGAATTACTGTTGGAAATGGTTCTCAAATTCCTATACAATCCATTGGTAGTTCTGTTATTCCATCAAATATGAGAAACTTAGTCTTGAAGGATTTATTGCATGTTCCTCGTATTAGCAAAAATAACATTTCCCATTTGACTATGGATAACTCTGCAATAGTTGAATTTCATGAGCCTTTTGTGCCGTTAAGGACAAGGTCACGGGGAAGGTTCTTCTGGAAGGAATGCTTAAGGATGGACTGTACCAGATTCCTCAATTCAAAGCCTCATCTCATGCTTTTGGTCAAGAATATCCATGGAAACGGTTTGTTTTTGTTGCTTTTGTTTCTACGATGACAAAGAAAAATCAGGATGATGTGTTGTTAGTTACATCTCCTGTTAGTCATCACATTTTGTATCGCTTTAAGAATGTATGACTTAGTAGGCTTGGACATCTGTCTCCTAGAATTTTGAATCATATCTTGACCTCTTGTAATCTGAAAAACAGAATAAATGAGAAATTATCCTTTTGTGAAGCTAGAATGGAAAATCTCATAGATTGTCATTCTTTACTTCTCAATCTCATGCTGTGAAACCAGTAGAATTGATAAACACGGACTTGTGGGGGCCCGCTCCCATTGCCTCCTCACAAGGATATCTTACTATATCAGTTTCCTTGATGATTTTTCTCGCTTCACTTGAATTTTTCCTCTCAAAAGTAAAGTTGATGCTGTTGTTATTATCACAAAGTTCAGATCCCAAGTGGAAAATGTGTTGGAACACAAAGTTAAAACTGTACGCTATGATGAAGGTAGGGAGTTTAAGCCTCCTTATTCAGTTTACCTCAGAAAATGGGATACAAATTCAGCTAGCCTGCCCCTATACTTCAGCCCAAAATGGGAGAGTCGAAAGGAAGCACCGACATATTGTGGAAACGGGTCTAGCTATGTTTGCTCAAGCCAAAATGCCTCTCACTTATTGATGGGATGCGTTCCACACTACAACATTCTTAATTAATCAAATGCGAACTTCTGTTATTGAAGGAAAAGATCCCTTTTGTGCGGCTTTATGACCGACAACCTGATTATAACTTTCTTCGGGTCTTTGGTTCTGCTTGCTACCCGTGTCTTCGGCCTTACCAACAACATAATTTTGATTTTCATACCACCAAGTGTGTTTTCTTGGGCTACAGTAACAATCATCGAGGCTATCACTGTCTTAGCCCATCTGGAAGAATATATGTTTCTTGTCATGTGTGTTTCAATAAGGAACAATTCCCATTTGCTGATTGCAACACCAGTCTTCCACCACCACCCTGAGCACAGACACCATACTTTCTTGGCTCCTCATTCCTTGTGTAGTGCCCTCTATTCCTATCACATCTGATTCCCCTATGTCCCCCTTCTACCTCAACTCCAACTTCAACAGAGGTTAAACCTTCCTCACCCTCCCCATCCCCTATGTCCTTTTCTAGTTCTCAATTGGAATCCCCTATCCATCAACGTAGTCCCTCCCCATCCCTTACCTCTGTCTCCCCCATTAGTAGCCACGGAACTTTCTCAGACCCCTGGCATTGATTTCCAGGAAGCTTATAGTCCTGTCATTAAGTCTGTATCCATCCGCTTGGTCTTAACTCTTGCTGCCACTTGGAATTGGTTGGTCAGACAACTTGATTTAAGTAATGCTTCTCTCAATGGCAGGCTTAGTGAAGCCTTGTTCATGCCTCAACCTGAGGGATATGTCGATCCCTTGCGCCCTTGTCGTGTCTGCCGTCTAAAGAAGGCTCTTTACGGCCTCAAACAGGCTCTTCGAGCCTGGTACGATAAGCTTCGCCTAAGTCTCACTAATTGGGGCTTTCGTCAGGCAACCAATGATCCCTCGCTTTTTTATTGTCGTACTGTTAATGGAGTGGTCATTCTGCTCATCTATGTTGATGATATTCTAGTTACTGGCTCCAATGCTCATCTCATTAGTTGCCTAATCCAACATCTTCATCAATAGTTCACACTTCGGGATCTTGGTCCAATTCATGACTTTTTGGGGATTCAAGCGACACGTACCTCTACTGGTTTTCTGTTATCTCAGGCCAATTACATTCAAAATCTCCTAAAGCACTTGAATATATCAAATATCAAGGCTGCCCCCACCCCGTTCACAACCACCTCTAGTCTTACTTCTTCGGCTAGTGAACCTTTTTCGGATTCCTCTCTGTACCGCAGTGTGATTGGCTCTCTTCACTATATGCTTCTAACTCGTCCAGACATTGCCTTTGTGGTCAATAAGCTAAGTCAATTCGCTCAGACCCCGTCTACCTCTCATTGGCAGTCCCTCAAATAGATTCTTCGCTACCTCAGTGGCTCTCTTCACATTGGGCTTCATATTCAACCTGCCCCATCTCTCACTCTAACCGGTTTTTTCTATGCTAATTGGGCCGCCTATTCCGTGGATCGTAAGTCTGTTGGTGGATACTGTATTTTTCTTGGTTCTACTCTCATCTCTTGGTCTTCCAAGAAGAACACGTCGTAGCTCGTTCTAGCACCGAATCCGAATATCGAGCTCTCGCACACGTATGCTGTGAGCTCAAATGGATCCCTTCTCTCCTTTCTGAGCTTGACCTACCTCTTGCATCTACACCTGTCACCTGGTATGACAACCTGTCCGCTGTTGAAGGACATCCGTCATCAGGTTCATCAGCGACAGTTAGATATTCGGTATGTTCCCTCCATTGATCAACTGGCTGACTGTTTCACCAAGCCTCTTCACATCTTCAGATTCTGTTATCTTCGGGACAAACTTGGCCTCGTTCCGCTCCCATCGCGTTTGAGGGGGGATGTTACGACATGACTATGCTTGGTGTACTCTCTGTATTGTCTTTTCTGCTATAGTTGAGAGTTAGTAAGGAAGTAGTTCATCTACGCCCTTGTGTTGTCTTGTAAAGCTTTTAGTTCATATTCTCCTCTTTGTCTATTTATTCATTATGTATTTTTTTCTCTAAAAAATTTGAATACAATTACAAAGTGATAAAGAAGAACTCTCTGGCTTTCCATCTTCTTGAATATTCAAACTCAAATTCTTTAATATTTTTTTCTCTTCATAAAAATAATAAGAATTAATAAAATACGATGTCTAAATGTATGATTAAATTTATTCTAATAGTGAAAAATTATTACTTTAAATTTTATAAACCTCTAATAATAATTAATAATGATAAAAACACACCAACTTTGGAAGATTTTAACACTGTTATTGCATAGGATTAATTTACACATTTTAAAATAACATAAAGTTGGAAGATAAAAAGCTTTTTACATGGAAGAAGTTGCTCATCTATTATTTTGGTGTAAGGAATAAAATACAGAAGAATAAATATAGGTTAGATCAAGAAATTAAAATTAATTTATACTAGAAGGGAGAAGCAATGATGAACATCACAAGCAGGCGCCAACATGAGCATAGTTCAACGGTATACTCCTTCTATTGAATCGGATGTTCGAACCCTCTTACTTCCAACTTATTGTACTAAAATAAAGAGAAAAAAATATCACAAAGCAGGCACTGTCCATATTTAATCTCGAGTGGATGAGTGTTATACGATTTGAAACATTTTTAATATTTTTTTTTTTGGCTTAGACGATAATTTATAGTTAAAGAGTGTAGCTTTAAAATGTTAGAAATCTATTAAAGGGTGATCATTTTTTTACTCAATAAACATTTGTGAGCTTTAAAAGATAAATGCTGGTGGATGACTTCCCCATGTCTCATCTCCAGTGGTTAAGTTTTATTTGGTTTAAAAGTTTTTGTGATGTTTTTGCAAGTGGATGATACCCTAATTTATAGTTAAAATTGTAGCTTAAAATGGTAGAAAATATTTATTAGTCGCATATTTTAATAGTAAATTGCATGTATATATTATTAAGGATACATATACTTTATAAGTCTGCAGTAAAATGTATGTTTTAATCATATAATTTCATATGATAGTTCTCCTTTATTATTTTTTTTAGGAAATATTTCTCATTTATTGAGTTCTCAGTGTTTTTGGAAAATATATATATAAATGGAGAATTACTTTAGGTTGGGTTGTTCTATATATAAAATTAGATATATGCACCTTTTAAATTAGCATTTAGTGGCTTTCCATATTAGCCGATGAATATTTGATATTTTAAAATACTTTATTGATTCTTTCCATTAATCGTGCTAATTAATAATAACATTCCTATTTGTTTTATGATACATTAGAGGTTAAAATTAATAATTTTAAAAGATAGGACCAAATTGAAACATTAAAACCGTTGTTATTGCTTTTTTGTTTCTTTGTTATTGAGAAAGATAAAAAAAAAGGTTTTATGATATTATATTCTCTAAAAGTTTAAATTAAGTAAAGGAAGGTTTTATTATAAAATTGCCGTTTTTAAAAAATAAACTATTTGTTGTAAAATTGAGGAACGAAACGAGGCAACATCGGGGAAATAAAATAAACAAAACAATTCAAAAATAAAGCAAATTCAAAATTCAAAATAGCATTTTCCACCAATTTTCAAATTTGATTTCCCACCAAATTTCTAGATCAAATTTCTCACTAATTTCTCACAAATTCTCACCACTAATTTCTCACACATTCTAACTACTAAATGAGCACCACATTGACCGGCCATGGATAAGCATGTGGTGTGATTTACATAACACTAATAATGTCTAAAATTGAGACACATGGGACATTTAGGGTTTCAACACATGGTGCATG